CATTATTCGGACTGTTAGCCTCATCTTCCTTTTCATATTCACAACGTTTCGGCCGCTGTACGCTCCAATGTTCTCCATGTGATTGGAATTTCGAACCGAAAACTTTATTTCATCCACTGGAGTAAATTGTTCTAGTTCTACGTTCCATGCCTCTTCCGGATGTCTCAGTTATTTCCCTTTAACTCAACTTTTCATGTTCTGGTATTGAACTCTTTGGGTCTAGTCTCTGGATCTCAACCAACGTCTTTATCCACTGGGCTTTGTGTCCTCGAGTCAAGTAGTCATAATCTCAGAGATATAGAAAAAGCCAAATATATTTCTGATACGCAACATATTATCTAAGATCTGAATATTACGTACCCGGGGGTAGTCACCACCCCGAAGAGAACATGCACGAATTCATTCTCTCATTACAAACACAGACATTATGAGGGGTCACCTCATTAAAAAAAACATATCAGATACATGAAATAGCTTTTTAACAATAAAAAATATTAAAAACTTAAAATCTTCAGACACGCTGGGTTGTATATAAATATTCTTTCGCTTTTATTATTTCAATTAGATCCCTCGACGAGTTTCAGCCAACATGGCCATCATCAGGAGAAAAAAAACCTGCTTGTTAGTAGCAGTGAACTACAGAAATGAATGACTTGATGGAGAAAATGAACTTTTGTCTGTAGTTTTCATTCGTTTTTTTTTATTTTTATGTTTTTTTTCATGAATTATTGTCAGTCCTTGTGTTGGTCAAACAATCTCTTTTAAGTTGTTATTTAAGATAAAGGCTGGATGGATTCGTGCTGCTCTGAATTCCCTTAGTCATTTTGACAGTTTTATTGGTTGCTGGAAAGGGGATGTGTCACTGTTAAGTGTGTGTGTTATTTGGTTCTTAGGGAGTGAGTGAGCATGATGTGTGTAATTGTGTATATTAGTATGGGTGTATGTGAAAGTGTGAGACCTCAACACCTCCGCAAGCATGTCTGTCTTGCGTGGGTCAGAAATTTCCGTAGGGCCTGATTTGTGGGGTTATATATTAATTCTATCTATGGTCTTAAATTTGTGTTTGGAGCGTTTTTAGGCGCAGAATCCCCTTATCTTAATGGCTTTCTAAAATTTTTCTAATGATATCTAATCTGAACTTTTCTATTTTCTCAATTATAGGGAATTTGGCATGGGTTTTAAAATCGTGTTTTTTGTAGGCGGAAATGGTATTCTACAGGTAATAATCTTTCATGGGGAGCCGACTTAATTCGATTGAGATAATTATTAATTCTGTAGTGAAAGGGCCATTCTGATTTTCCTACATATTGTTTCTGGCATAGTGTGCATTCTAGAAGGTAAATTATGTTATCACTTCTACAGTTAGAGTCATGGTAGATTTAGTGACTGAGCTTGTGAAAGAATTGTGTTGTTGCATGGTTGGGAAAATCCTATTCTTTTTGTTTTTGGTTTATTACGGATTACTTTATCCCCTGAAATGTGGTTTACTACCTACCTACCTACCCCCATATATATATATATATATATATATATATATATATATATATATATATATCGCTAATTTGAAATGTACTCTGCTTTTAAGTTCCTCAATTTTGCTGGTGGCTTCCTGAAAATTTAACACGTTTTCATACATTCACTCACATACAACGGACCATATAACCTATAAATCTCCCATTTTCCGTTCTTTGCAGAAGCTGTTATGTACTCTGATACACACACACACACACACACACATATATATATATATATATTGAATTTTATTGTTTACTGATTATTTGCTCTGTAATAATAAATACACTGAGCGCTTTTTGTGGATTAGTTTTAATATTTTATCTTACTAGGATCCACTTTGATTATATACCAAAGGATTTATTACCTTCTCTCTCCTCTCTCCCCCCTCTCTCTCTCTCTATATATATATATATATATATATATATATATATATATATGAAAGAAATGACATTTTAATCAATTTATCTATTCCGCGTGATCTATTGGAATGTCTCGCTTGTGGATTTTCTTTTGAAAGCAAGCGGCAAGTAAGAATATTCAATGAAACAAGCCGGGAAAAAAAACTCCACGTTGATTCGAACATCAGAAATCAAAGCCAACGTGCCATCGACATTATCGCCCTTGTATTTTTTTGCCGATTTTGTATTCGGACCTAGAAATGAAGAGCTGAAATATTGAAAAAAAAATTGCTGCCTTCAGACAAACAGATTGCTGAGTTGAAATTAGAAAGAAAGAAAGATTTCTGTTTTTATTTAACAACCGAATCTAGTTTCTAGCGAAGATAAATAAATATATTGGCATTAAATAAGGATTTTTTTGATAGCCGCCTTCTTGAGTTAAACGAAAAGATAAGTAAATTGAAAAATACCAAGCAACGCATGTTATTAAATTTTTATTTTATTTTCTCTCTATGAGGGTTCAGTGCCTCCATATGTCACGTCACACTGCCTAGAGTAGAAAATGTGTGCGAATATGTGTATGTATGTGCGTACGCAGGTGCGACGAACTGTTTGTATGTCGGAGGATAGAAAGTAATTACCTTTGATTATTTATGAGATAAAAAGGCAGTTGGATATAGAATTCTCTATATATAAGTAGACAGCAAGTCTAAAAAAAGCTTATCCCATATAAAAATATATTTTTTATATTCCTCTCTCTCTGTCGCCATCTCTCTCCGTCCACACACACACATGCATGCACACACACAAACACGCTCTACACACACACAAACACACACACACACGCATATATATATATATATATATATATATATATATATATATATATATATATATATATATGTTAGAATATATAAGTAGACAGCAAGTCTAAAAAGCTTATCCAATATAAAAGTATATTTTTATATTTCTCTCTCTTTGTCGCCATCTCTCTCCGTCCACACACACACGCACACACACACACACACGCACATATATATATATATGAGTTAAACGACACCCAAGAATCACCATAAGCCTACGTAAACATAGAATTATTCACGGTTTTATTACACGTGACACATGTCTGCTGACCAATGAGAACTGACCGAAACATAAATGAGAGTACCAGTATTTTCTGTTTTTGTATCTGTTTTCTCTCAATCTCTGATGAAGCTTTAATAAAAGTGAAACATGTTAGATTGATACACTTTTCCTATTTGTTCTTTAATTTTTTTATCCTATTAGATTCTGATCTATATTTCATATGCATTTGACATTTATAATATATAAGACCATCTAATTTGTATTTTTAACATATATATATATATATATATATATATATATATATATATAACAAGCTTCCTCTGCCCTTCCACAAAATTATAAAAATATGAAAACTAATCATTAACCGTTGCTTCTCTTTCATCAATATTCTCTACAAGCAAAAATTCGACTTACCTATGGGGTCACCTCTCAGTGGTATTCTCGCTTACAATTTTCTAGAATTCTTAAAATACCGTCTATTTAGACACATCATACCAAACAGAACTTCTTACCTAAGATATATAGTTGACGACCTCTTATTATATCCCCAAGATAGACATTTATTAGACACAATAATGAAACTCAATAAGGAATTTGAAATAAAACTTTTCTACCTTTCCTCGACATGTTACTAATACACAACAATAATAAATAATTTTAAGGTAAACCTATAAACAAAAATGACCTCCAATTCCCACCACAACAAAAATAAATAAATTCTGGACTAGTCATAGAATTCTACCTTAAAGTCATTAGGATATGTAGCTCGGAATACCTAAATGAAGACGAGAGATATATCGAGAAAACCTTCAAACTTCTCCACGACCCACATCATTTTAACTTCAGTGTAAAAAACGAGCGCTTACAAAACACACAAAGCCAAAAAAAATAAATATCTGATGTCACCAAAAACGCTTCTAACAAAAATGACACAAAATTACTGTCTGCCCTGTAATACTCCTTGTACTAAACTCGAAATCAAATTAGTCATCCCTAATACTAAGTTTGTTACCAACACCTCCGAGACAATCGGTGATCTAATTACTAAAAAGATAATGATGCAAATGACGGGGTTTTTCAAATAAATTGTATGCAATGTAAAAATGTTTATGTGGGAGAGACAAAATATGAAAATAAAATATATTATAATGTTTTCCTGCTTTTCATTCCACGCCCTAAATATTTTGATATTGATATCTATTTATCTATCTAATCCTATTGATATATCTATCTATCTATCTATCTATCTATCTATCTATCTATCTATCTATCTATCTATCTATCTATCTAATCCTATTGATATATATATATATATTTATATATCTAATCCTATTTATCTATAAAAATTATTCATATTCATCTATCTATCTATCTATCTATCTATCTATCTATCTATCTATCTAATCCTATTGATATATATATATTTATCTATCTAATCCTATTTATCTATCAAAAATGATTCATATCTATCTATCTATCTATATATCTAATCCTATTGATATATATATATTTATCTATCTAATCCTATTTATCTATCAAAAATGATTCATATCTATCTATCTATCTATCTAATCCTATTGATATCTATTTATCTATCTAATACTACTTATCTAATATTATTCATATCTATCTATCTATCTATATATCTATCTATCTATCAAATCCTATTCATATCTATCTATCTATCTAATCCTATTCATATCTATTTATCTATCTAATCCTATTTATCTAAGATTATTCATATCTATCTATCTATCTATCTATCTAATCTTATTGATATCTATCTATCTAATCATTTTCATATCTATCTATCTATCTATCTATCTATCTATCTATCTATCTATCTATCTATCTATCTAATCCTATCTCTATCTATCTATAGTGTTTTGTCATATAAGATGTATAAACACATAGTTACTATACTGGTGCGATTTCTAATCAGAGCGATGAAATCTGGTGAATAGAGTTGGCCTAGTCCATTACACAACAGATGACAGTTATTCAATAGAATTTTTTTACTGTAATAAATAAAATGTCTGATTGGAGTGAAACGAAGTCATACAGGGTAAAACTAGAGGGGCGAATCGGCAAGCTAGAGTGAAGGGCAGATCGAAAAGGGGAGGCTGTGTGAAGAAAAAGAAAGAAAAATAGATGCGAAGACGTAAAGATAAATGATGAATGGGCGAGAGGTGAAATCCATTTGGAATGTAGATAAGAGAGATTAAACAAGAGAAAGATCGAAGGCCGCGTAATGAGATTGGGAAGGATGGGAAGGAAAAGAGGAAGACAAAGATATAGAACAGACATGAAGAAAGCAAGCAATAAAGAATCAAGGGAAAGGAGGTTTGGAAAAGCGGACAGGAAAAGAAAGAGAGAATATGAGAAAAAAGAAGAGAAGGAAAATAAAAAAAGTGAAGAATGAAAAGAACATTTAAAAAGAAAGAAAGAACTGTGAAGTAAAAAGGAAACGAAAAAGTGTGGTTGAATAAAAAGAAAGGAAAAGAAAGAAAAGAAAAGAGGAAAATGACAAACGAGAAATGAAGCAGGCAAATGAAGAGTAAAAGAAAAGAAAATACGATAGGAGCAAAAAAGAAGAAAAAGAAAGAAAGAAAAAATGACAGAAAAAAAGTTATCGAGTGAAGAAAGACGAAAATTATAAAAAAACAAAAGAAAAATTAAACAGAAGAAGTAAAAAGAAGAAAGCAGTAAACGAACAAATCTTCAAGTAAGAAATTTGGGTTTTAAAAAAGAAGAAAAAGATTTAAAAAAGGAGAAAAACATTAAAGAAAGAAGAAAAAGAGACGTGGAAAAAAAGAGGCAAGAGCAAATAACTGAAATTAAACCGAATCTAGGAATAAAATTGTAACAAAAAAAAAAAAAAGATTAATCAAATAAAGGGCATAAAAAAAGAAGCGAAAGCAATAAAGAGCGTTGGGATTCATGGGGTATAAACGTTTCCCATCTATTATTTGTTGTTACCAGCAAAACTTTCAAATTACAAGTTAAAGGTACCAAAATCAAGTCAGTACAACAATTTAAATATGTGAGAATTTTTGTTACAAAGGAGAGAAAATTCAAAACCGAAATCCGAAAGCGCAATAGGATGGCCAAAGATGCTTTCCAAAAGCTAAGCACAGTGTTAAGTACGAGGAAAATCTTGTTAGAAACAAAGGAAAGAGAACTTAACTGTTATGTAATATCAGTCCTTCTATATAACAGAGAATGCTGGGCGATCTCCCCGCAGATGAAGAAGAGACTTGAAGCGATAGAAAAGTGATTCTACAGAGAGATGTTGAGAATACTATGAACTGAACAGGTGAATAACGACGAAGTTTCAAAGAAAATGGAAACAAAAAGGATATATATACTTAACTTCAGAAAAGGACAGCCATAATTTCTAGAGCATATAATGAGGAAAGAGTGTTTGGGAAATATGACACTCACAGGGCATACTGAAGACAAGTATGAGAGAGGAAAGCAGCGTATGAGTTTAGGACTGATATCAAAATTTAATCAGCGCTACAAAGGACAGGAAATTGTTGAAAGCCATGATCGCCAGTATCCTGAAGGGACATGACACAGAAAAGAAGTGTTTACTATCCTTACAGGTGATTAATGGCTATGGTCTTGTCAGTTTAAGCCAGGGGGGGTAACCTTTTGGAGAGAGCGGTTAGGAAAGCTATGCATTCTCGGGGGAGGGCCACGATATTCTGTAATGTCTTGGTCTCAGGCCGCTCTGTCCAGAAGGCTGCCTTGATTTGGAGGTTTAAAGAAAAAAAAAACAACGAAGTTAATGTTATTTAAACAAGGTTCAATATTTTACTACAGGAATAACACGATAACAACTAACATAATCAAGAAAAATGAGGCACTTTTTCTTCCCATATGTCCTTACAAATAATGATACTCTCAATTTCACATTATTCAGTTGGCTTTTAAAATTGCCGCTTGGCAAAACATATTTCTTGTAGAAGTCAGAAGTTGATTCGGAATTAAATTTTGATTTTAAAATTAGTCGCATTGTAAGTCGATTAACTCTCACTGATATTTTTCTGCCACTTGCTCCACAAATTAATTAGATGATTAGTGTCCAGATGTTAATTTGTGGGGCCGGACAAAAAATCCTCCGCGTGTCGGATGTGGCCCGGGGGGCCGGGGGTTGCCGACCCCTGGTTTAAGAAAAAGCTTAGTAATTACTGATAATAAAACTTTTGAAAATAATGAAAGAAACAAGGAGAAAAAGGTGAAAAAAAAGGTAAAAGAAAAATTAAGCATAAAACAAAATAAAGATGAAGTCAATAAAAAAAAGAACGAAAAAAAGGCGGAAACGAGAGAGAGAGAGAGAGAGAGAGAGAGAGAGAGAGACGCATAGCATATATACAATATTTAAATGGGAACTGGTAAGTGAAACAAAAATAAAAGACTGCGAGACGAAAAGAAAGAGAAACAAGAAAGACGAAAAGAGAAGATTAAAAGATGGAAAGGCATGAAAAAACAAAAAACAAACAAACAAAAAAAAAACAAACAAAAAAAAACGCGAAACAAACTGGAAATAAATAAATAAATAAAAAGAAACCTTAAAGGAGAAGGTAAAGAAAATATCGAATTCGTCAAATAACGTAAAAATGTTCCGAAAATGGCAACTCCAAGTCAAGCAGGAAAAAAAGGAAAAAAATAAAATCTAAATAAATAAAAACGACGAGACAAAATTCTAAATCATTCGCAGACACCAACCCCGACCCCCTCCTGCAATCGAAGATGCATTTTCTGAGCTGAAAAAGGCACAAATGATTCGTAATTCTAACTTCATCCCAAATTTTTCCATTTTCGACGGTAAATTTAGAAGATGGGCAAAGATTACTAAAATAAAGACAAAGATACGTTAAGCATTAAGTGCATGTCTGTGTGTACGCCGCTGTATGTATGCATACATTTATGCATTTATGTATGTATGTATGTATGTATGTATGTATGTATGTATCTCTTTAGAAAAGCGTATCTTTCATCGGCCATTATTATTTTGTACTCATCATTAAGTATTTAAATGAAGATTGTGTATGAATATGTAATCGTATGTATTTGTAAAAATTTGTCTAAAAAATTAATTCACACGCAAATATATGTAAATATATATATATATATATATATATATATATATATATGCACATGCACACACTTACCCATACATACTGTATACGCAGACACACATATACACGTACACATACACAGACATATGTTTATGTGTGGGTGTGCGTGCGTGTATAACCATGCATTAATGGAAACCAGGAATTATTCGTAGAGTGCTTGAATTTGTCGGGATGATGGCGAAATAAACGTTCATAAGACTTATCTATCTATCTATCTATCTATCTATCTATCTATCTATCTATCTCAGTCTCTTCATATCTATCTCGGTCTGTTCACATCTATCTATCTATCTATCTATCTATCTATTGTGTGATATAATTTTACGCTTATGGTGTTTCTGTTTACTTTTACCTTTGTCTTTTTTCTAAATCCTCTAAATTTACTTTATGAGTGCTTAGTTCTAAAGCCTTTGTATATTTAATTTTATTACCATCAAATAGTTTCTTAATGCTGGAATTGGTAGATAATCTAACTTCGACTGATTTATGTAAATTATCTAGAATTTATTAGAATTTTGTGATGGTGGTGGTGTTTCGATTCTTTACTGATGTATCTATGATCATATTGATCTTTGGTCTATGGTTTGGAATAACCATTATTCAAGTCCCAAGTCACATCGAGAAAGTTGATCACTTTATCATTGGAGGTAGGGGTGAAATTTAATTCGTAATCTTTAAAAAAAAATCATGAGTTCCTTTCTCAATCGGTCTATATTTCGTCGGCTTGTTTTACTGGGGTGAATGTCATCGTCATCTCAATAGGTGTCCTTCATGTCGAAAATAAATCTAAGTCTTCGCAAAAATAATATTCCAAAATTGTTAAAAATGAAAAAAACTGTAATCTCCGTATACCCATATATATATATATATATATATATAATTTACGAAAGTGAAGATTGTACTGTGCATGAAACTCAGACTCGTGCTACCGTTGAGGGATTATATGTATATTTATTGATATATACTTAAGAGCTCTGTTGTATTGCATCGAGCATTCTATATTCTATGTGCAATATTATATATATATATATATATATATATATATATATATATATATATATATATATATATATATATATATATATGCAGTATTTATGGGATAAAATGCTAAGTATCGGGGACAGATAATTTTTATAGGATCTGATTATCGATTATAGCATGCAACTGATCATGTATTGTTGATTTCCATATAAATACCGCTTCTCTCTCTCTCTCTCTCTCTCTCTCTAAGTAATTATATATAATAGTTTTAACTCGTGAAAATTTCTCGGTTTTTCTATTTGAAATTTCTGATGAATCTTAATTCTTCAGTTAATGAGTGAATTAACTCATGTCGACTTGTCCGACAATAACATATCCACAGAAATGTCCATATCGAGCTAATTTTCTCAGTGAAACTAAGTAGCGTCTCTGATATTTGTTTAGCTTTGCCGCGCAATCAAAATGAAATAGTCCATTATTTATGAGTTATTGTCAGGAAACGTTAAACATTTCTATGTTCCCTTCGTTCTTTTCTTTTCCCTCCCTTTCTTCCGTCTTTTCTTACTTTCTTTCATTTTGTCACTGAAACCAAATAGTGTCTTTTCTCTTCATTCCATGCGATCGATACGAAATAGTTCAGATATTGACATGCCGTAACGGTCAAAGAAGGACCAAGAACAATTATTTGATAATAGGGTGCATTGTGAGGGTCGAAATCAATAGATCAATTGCAGTAATTCGAACCAATACTTTGCAGTCTAGCTTCTAATATTTATTGACTACATAATTTCATTTATTTATTTTTGCACAACCTTTTAAGTTTTGTCTTAACAATTTTTCTTTAAATTCGAGCAGTGTTTCTACAGGTATATATTTTTGTCGTTGTTTTTGGACAAAAGATTAGCCATTACCCTCACATCAGAAACAATATATATATATGTATATATAATAAAATAAAAGACCAAACAGGAAACGTATATCAATCTAACATGTTTCCCTTTTATTAAATCTTCGTCAGGGATTGAGAGAAAATAGACAAAAAGAGAGACATCCCTGGAATTTTCATTTATGTTTGGATCAGTTCTGATTGGAGAACTATAATCTCTAGAATCATCCTGTGTGTGTGTGTGTGTGTGTGTGAAAATATATATATATATATATATATATATATATATATATATATATATATATATATATATAATTATTTATATGCGCGGGTACTTATTAGAAAGCGCTCAATCCAACCATATATATATATATATATATATATATATATATATATATATATATATATATAGTGTGTGTGTGTGTGTTTGTCTGTGTAATCGCCATTAAGTAGGTATAGGAAATAAAAAATGACCCCCCAAAAATACTCAAAGTGCTCAATGAAGAAAGTGCAGAGCAACATATATGATTAAAAAAAAACTGCTCCATAATTTACTGACTGATCCATTTTCAACTTACAGGATCTTCAGGCCACAGATGCAAGAAGGTATACTTGCAAATAATCGGAACACACACACACACACACACACACACACACACACACACATATATATTGATATATGTATGCAAGTTTCTTTTAAAACGATTGACAAGATACTGCGGTTATGTATTTTTAACATTTTTTCTTGTGCTCATATAATTAAAGAAAATATATTTTACCTCTCTCTCTCTCTCTCTCTCTCTCTCTATATATATATATATATATATATATATATATATAGTGTGTGTGTGTGTTTGTCTGTGTAATCGCCATTAAGTAGGTATAGGAAATGAAAAATAAAAATAAATACTCAAAGTGCTCAATGTAGAAAGTACAGAACATCATATAGGATTAAAAAAAAACAAAAAAAAACTGCTCCATAATTTACTGACTGATCCATTTTCAACTTATAGGATGTTCAGGCCTCAAAGGGCAAAAAGGTATACTTGCAAATATTCGAAAACACACACACACACACACACATATATATATATATATATATATATATATATATATATATATATATATTGATATATGTATGAAAGTTTTGACAAGATACTGCGATTATGTATTTTAAAAAATTTCTTGTGCTCATATAATCAAAAAAATATATTTTACCTCTATAAATATATATATATATATATATATATATATATATATATATATATATATATATAAGAACATTAGAAAATTTTTAAAAAATTAAATAAAAAAAATTACCCGCAATAGCTTGTTAGTCGTTTTGACGAAAGTTGTATAAAAGAGGGATTGTCGCTTTGCGTTCTTACAACAACCTTATTCAGAATAACTCTACCTTGAGTTGCTCTTGGGCAGTGTGCTGGTTGAACAATAATATCGTGTATATTATTGTATCCTTTCTGGGCCAATTTGCTAAATTTATGATTTATGGTTTACTGTTTAATATATTATTCAACAGATTTTTCAATTGGTGATCTCTTGTCTTTTAACTATCCTTAAATATCCTCCTTGGAATTATATCCTCCTTGGATTATATATATATATATATATATATATATATATATATATATATATATATATATTTACCCAAGTATAGGATTGGTGTAATCGGAATAAATTCCAATAACCAACAGATACTATTCTTAAAAGAGTGCTCAATACAGAGTAGAGCAAATGTAATAATTTATTCGAAAATTAAAACATAAGTATGTTATAAAATCACTACAAAAATATCCATTTTGTTTCAACACTTCTGGTGTCATGTTATAATTTTCGAATAAATTATATATGTGTGTGTGTGTGTGTGTTAACCGTATTTTGTATGTCTCTTCAGTCATTCTACTTATTTTGATTCTGAGAATGGTCTCCACAATCTTACACCATTCACATCTCACCAAAATGGTAATAGTAGCCAAAATGTATTTTTATCTTCTGAAAGCTGTAAAAATCTACAAAAAAATCACTTAATATCAATGTATTATCTTAAGCTAAATACATACCAAATGATCAACTTGACAATTTTATATTATAATGTTGTTTATACGCCCGATATGCAATGGAAATATTGGTCTTTGTCTCATTCCTAGATATCGTTTCATATGTCTCATTACATACGCAATACATTTTTTACATATTTTTTCGTAAATCCAACACGTAAAAGAATAAGAAAAACGACGACATAGAAAGAAAGAACATTAATTTATTTTATAGAACAATTAATAAACTTACAAAGATTTTCAACTAAATTTCAAGTCGATTTTCCTTCTTCATTTGGTCAACTTG